ACCGCGCCAAACCGTGCCATCATCGCTACGCCCAACACTCTTCCCCCCCAAAATACATATGCATACATAGATAAATATTTATGTATACGCTCAGCCATGCATGCACATAAAAAACCTCAAGAAAGCCCAGCAGAGCCTGAGGGAACACCAAGGGAGAAGTGGGAGATGCCAGAAATTCCGTGAGGTTGGCTCGGGTCCTCCTCACGCAGGGGATAGGCCTGGTGCTTCACCACCGCGGGAGGGCCTGGACTAGAAAAGTGAAGGTGCAGAAGCAGCGGGAGAGAACTCTGGCTGTTTGGGATGTGTTTCTTTGTTTTAATTGCTGCTAGTCGGATTTCGGCTAGATCTGGTTTTGTATCTTCGTTATGATCAATATTTGGGGAAAAAAATGCTTCCACTCAAAACTTGGTGAAAAATATTTTCCACTCTGAAATTAGAGGTCAATAAATCAGAAGTAGCTTTTGAGTCTGAGCAATGTTTTTGTAGCTCCATAGTGGGTGTCAGAAACATGGGTGGGTAAAATGAGACTGAAATTGCAGGTGCAGGCTGAATAATCGCAGAGCCGATTTTAGCCACAGTTTCAGAGTATTTCTAAGTAAAATTTGTTCAAGTATATCCTTATAAACAGTAGAGTGATTTTGAGTTCACTTTAAAACAATATAGCTCATATTTCATGGGTTTATGTCCTATTCCAAGGACAGAAAATAGGAGGGGGTGTTATGGAATAGAAAAATTGAAAAGTGCATGCCTGACAGTTCTACACAGCAGATGTAGGTTACACTTGTTGTTTTGTAGCAGTGTCAAGAGAACCATCAATTAATCCAAAAGAATTAGAGGAATCTCCCAGTCGTTTCAGCTCTTCAGCCTCTTCCTGAGTCAATGAAATAATTGTCTATGTATGATCCCAAATAAAACGTCTGACCTCTTTGATTCAATTAATTATTTCTCTTTCCCCAAAATCTGTCATTGACCTTACTGTGTGTATGGCATCTAAAGTGCTTTTATCTCGAACGAGTAAACTCTTCAACTCTTCTAAGCTTGATTCACATGCACATATATGTCAAACAAGAATTTCTTAAATGTACGGTAGAAAATTGGCTGTTTTCTTTGATTTCTCAGCTGATCTTCAGCAGAAATGATTCTGCGTTAGGGCTCATTCGGTGATAGCTATGACAGCTACACTGGTTGCCTAGTCAGACTGCACATGGCTCCTTAAATCAACACTTTTATAGAAGCAGTGCAAAAATCAGTGATGGAGTATTTAATCCACAGTAGAATCTCATGAGTAGATTACAAAGATTATTCATTATGTTTAAATTCCAAATTTGAATAGTTGTCATTTAATATATCTTTGAAGATATGACTACTTTTAATCTGTTTTAAAATAGTGGAAGATTCTTGCAACACAGTAAGACTACGGGGTGGCTGACCTGCTCAAAGAGCTAAACTTGCTGAACTTTTCACCTCTGAATCACCACTTCAGATACCCAGATTTGTTACAGGAATTTTGTAATCATTATAAAATCAATTTGTCCAAATCACAGGAGACAGACAACAGCTTTGTTAGTCAGTAGAATATGGAAGGCTGAATGGACTTAACAACATGACTCTCTTACAGGCAGGTTTTTCAAGGGCAGCATGTCAGCATGTTGGCCAGGTGATAGGGTGAGGTTTGCATTTCTGTCTAACTTTGCAAATCTGCTTTTTGACAGTTGAAAAGGATTGGAATTTCTAAGCCAACTTTTTTGTATGTTGTTGTTCACTGATTCATATTGCCTTCAGATTTGAATATATCTCTATCGTGCTCATGACAAAATACTTAGAAAAACTGAATTTGCTGATATATGGTGAAAAAGAACACGAGGCAGAGCAGAACCAATGAAATTGGGACCAGTATTCCAGGACAAACTTCCTGAGAGAAAAGATCCGGTTTCTGGGTCTTCTTACCAATGCAGAGCCGGGTGGCCGGAGAGGTTGACGCCTATCTGCATTGATTTGACAATTGCATAACTTCTGGCCAAAAAGAAAGAAAAACTAAAGATTCAAGAAACGACTGAGGTCTTGTCTCCAGCCAAAACTGCAGCCTGGACATGATGAGTACTGATGTGCACTCACCCTCCAGAGGAAATCACTATAGATACAAGATTGCAGAACAAATAGATATCGCAACCAGAATACAGAACAAATTCCCGATTTGAATTGTAAAAATATCTTCATTTAAATAAAACACATTCAGTACTTTTTTTTTTGTCTCATTTTACCATGTTCTCTTATCTCTGTAACTGTCTCAGCAGGTTGCCACAAGTAACGTGAGCACAGCTTAAGGCATTCTTTCAAACCTCTTGAAAAAAAAGGCAGGTTTCACTCACTCGTACCAGCCTTTGGAACACCTCTAGTTGCAATACATTATTTTTCAGACCTTCTAAGCAAACCTGTCATGTCTGAAAAGTTGTGATTCACAAACACCTCACTACTTCAAAGACTTACAGGTCACAGATTTTTTTTCTCCCTTTTCTTGCTTCAGGATACTAGATAATAAATTCAGCGTACGAACATTGGCTCCTAAGGGTGATTCTTTAAAATATTCAAGTACTGCATATCCAGCTAGGAAGCAGGGCCAGCTGACGTGATCAGCTGTTATCCTGCTGCACGGGTAAGCAGAACTGGGAAAAATTGCATAGAAAAATCTGAATGCTCCTGGGGCAACTGTTTTTGTGCAAAATACAAATCACTTCAGGGAAAAGTAGCATTTCTGTGGCAGTGAATGCTAACTTCACTTACGCCAACTTCACAGTGTTTTGCTGTGAAAGACAAGTTAATATTAAACTGTGTTTGGTATCTCAGCTACCGTCCTGAACATCCCGATCCCAGAGGTGTATCCACACAACATTTAGACTAGATTTCCAAACAGATAGGTTCCTGCCAGCTGATCTGTGTATGTGTGAAAAGTAGTTATGAATGTCTTGGCCTGTAAGTCAAACGTCATTCAAGGATCCTGCTTAAACATATTAGGAACCAAAACACGGTGCACATTGTACCAACGAAATACCCTCTTCAGTTGCTAGCATGAATTTGTCTGTATATCTCTACATTAAAGAATTAAATTGCTGATGAGTACAAAGTATTAAATACTTAATAATAGCTGCCTCAATCTCTCCTTAAAAATAGGAAGTATAAGAACAGATTATATCAGTTATACTATTAAAATATTCATGTGCAGCCTTCAAAAAAGTAAGATAGAGTATGTTCAGAGTTTTTTAATGGTAGCTGTAGCATCTTACAAGTAGTTTGATCTTAATGTTAAATGGTTCTTTTAAAAAGTTCTACAGTAGCTTGCTTACTGTGTAGCTTACTTCTGCTTTTAATCACAGAGAAAGCTTTTATACTTCAGAGGGAACCACATGTGACTCATGACAATTTATTGTAAGTGTTCAACAAATATTTCTCTATCACTTTCTAGTATGTTGAAATTATAATTTTTTTTTCTGAATGGAAATACAGACATAAGCACAAAACTTGCCAGACTGGATCATACTAGTGAATTACCTGCATCATAAATCAAATTAAAAGTACAATTTACTTCAAAGCTACTTAATGACCAGAAATCATTACTATTGCTCAATGGTGTACAATTCCCTTTTTTTTAAAAAAGGAATCAGTTGCATTGCCTAATATTGAAACAGTGGTAAAAATTAACAGTTGTTTAAAACAACAGTTTCAGGTGAAGTTAGACTCTCAAAAACATAAATAGTCTTACTAACTTCAGCAAATTTTTTTAAAAGTGTAAAAGAACCCTTTATCTGATGCTATTGACATTTAAACCATGGTTGACTACTTGGCTTCTAAACTCATTTGGAAATGTCAGTCTTTTTACTTACGTAAATTCTGGAAAATCCTAGGCTGATGACCCTCTGTCTATCTATAATTAAAGGTCCACTCCCTGTCACAGGGGAACAGTAATGGAATCAGAACCCAGCTAATTACTAATGATGAATGCCTTTCTGTATAAATCAGTTAAAAGCTAAAGGATTTGATTGATGATTAGGTAATATGAAATAAGAACACACTGTTGGCTGAAAATTACTTTATTGTAGAGGGACTGCTATTGAGAAAGTCATTTACAATTGCATAAACATTGGAAATATGGAAAGAGAAGCAGTATTGTGGGGATTTTGAAGAAGGCAGAGAAAAGAGAATGAAAGTTAATGGCTGAAATAATGTGTCATAGCTTGTGAAAGAGGCTGGTAGGGATGGTGGTTGGGAAAACAGCTGAGACTGCATTTGCAGAGAGTCCGGAGTTCACCTGGAAATTTACACTCACAGAACCTAAGTTTTCCTCTCATATATAATGTTTTGTCTCGGTAAGGCAGAGATTTAGTACTGTATTACTTCTCTGATTCATGGCTGATCTTCGCATGGTTTCATGTCTGATGGGTCCTTCTTCACAAGAGTTGAAAAAAAGCCACGTTCTGTTGGAAACAAGTTAAGAACTTGGGTTAAATTCTTGAAACATGATAGCTGAAAACAATATGTTTCATGTGCCCTGCTAGGTGAGCAATCAATCTTTGCATCATAGTAAAACCGCCAGAAGAAATACACTATTTTAATTTCTATTTTAATGAAAGCGAAGCTACATCCATCAGAAGCCAAGCCAAATGTGAGGAGAGATGTTTTCATCATGCATAGGCTGTGTTTTTTCCTTCACTTACAAATGAAAATAAAACTTACAAGGAATATTCTATGCAAGGGATATTGATAAAATAAATGCAAAGCATTTCCTCTTGCTGACAAACTTCAGTATTTTGTCTGTTTATTTATTCTAAAAACCTGTGTGCCTGTGAACGAGTTCCTCCAGCATCAATTCCTCACTGCAGCTGTCAGCTGCTTTTTAACACTCTCGGTCCAAAGTCAGAACCGGTGTGTTACCACTCAGCATAACATGGGAGTAATTCACCAGAATGGGAGCGAATACGTCAGGTTCTCAAGGCTGCAGCGGTGTTCAGGCTCTTTTCCCCTGTAGAAAACGTTGATCCAAGGATTCATGAAATCCTGGAATACTTTACATATGGCCTTTTGTTTGGGCTAGGCCGCCTTCTAAGAACAGAACAGGGATTAAAGCAGGGCTCTGACGTATCCAAAAGAAAACTCTTGCTGTGCATTCTTTCTTCCTCTCAGGCCATTTCTTCCTAAATACCCAAAAAGTTTAGTACAAGGCAGATTAATTAGCCAATCTAATAGGGCCCGAAGATGAATTGTGACATTGCCCCCACACTAAAGTGCTTGTTATTCCACCAACAGAAGCTGTTTTATGATTAGCCTCATACCTTTGAAACAGGCGGGGAGAGTAAGGTTGCCATCCACACATGGAACAGCTACGGTATAGGCACAGGATTTTTCTTTATTCTTGCAGAAGAAAGATACCGTTTCACCATGCTGAATGCCTTCCTTGAGGTCGTTCTGAACTCTCTTCTTCTCGCCGTTGTATAATACTACAGCTTTCTTAACTGGTATTTTACATGGTCCTGTAAAACAATCCAGTTATAAGCAATACGTAAGGATAATTAGAACTCTATTTTGAAAAGTGGGTAGATTAGATCCCATAAGAAATCTGTACAGGTGACAGTTGAGAATGAAAAATAATATGTCCCACACATACATAGTACTTCTGCTGGTATTACAATGCTGAAGAAATTCAGATCCCTAAGTATAGGGTCAAAAGTTTCCAGTGAATATTCAGCCTCAATAAAATTTCTAATTATATTAAATAAGAAGAGGAGGGGAAATACTCAGACAAATAAAGTTTCGTGGCTGATTATTGAAGTCAATTCAGATACATCATGTTATACAACGTTCAGTGCTGGGAGTGGTCTTAGATTATCAGGGCCTTGAAATTACTTTTTCGGTTTTGTTTTGAGGACAGCTCTTGCACAAAGGTGTAATAGCTCATTAACAATCAGAGCGGTGGTCTTTTAGGAAAATTCAATTTGATACGTGGTTTCTAATGGATAGTGTGTGTATACCTTTACAGGTTGGCTTTGTGGACCAGTTACCAGTCTTTTCACATCGGGAATGCTTAGGTCCGTCCAGCACGTAGCTGGACTGGCAGACGAAGCTGACGCTTTCATTATAGTGATACGTTCTACGAACAGCAAACTCTATGAATCCGTTTTCAATTCCTGTTGGAGTGGGGCATGTGACAACTGCGGTACAAAAACAAAAGCAAAGCTTTATCAATGTTGTGGTTCTATATACTTCGAAAAATGCATAAAACTTTCATGGTGGTTCATTTCAGCCTCTGGCACAGGAAAACATAGCCAGAGGAAAGATAGTTTAAAAGAAACCAATAAATAAATATTACTTGATTTAAACACACATCTATTGCAATCTGTGGTTATATCCAAAAACTACTTAAATGTGGCATAGTTTCACTGAAACCAGTGAAGTTCTTAGGGCTAAGGGCAAGGTTGTCTATTTCTTAGATTAACCCTAGCACTTAGTAGAATAAAATGTCCGCTGTGCTCTGGAGGCCAGGCTCTAATTCCCCTGTGAACCTCTGTGAACTACGTTTAGCAGGTCTTGTTTATATAACCTTTATACCTGCAACAAATATTTTGTCAATCCCATGTTGCGTGCAATCTTGTTAGCAATCAGCTTGCATTCAGAAGTCTGACTTTCAGAATAATTCTACTGTGTGTTTGCAATAACAATTGTAAAAAAAATTATTAAGGTTGTTCGTATAGTTTTATATATACAATTCTAGGGAATATTTTTAGGTCTTGATAAAATTAAGTTACTTACCCTTGCACTCTGGAATGCTGCTCCAGTTCCCGTTGGCCATGCAGGTAGCCGTCTCATTCCCAATAAGTGCGAGGGGAGGTACACATTCGAAAGTAATTGTGTCCAGGAAATTAGAAATATTTCCAGGTTTTAAGCGACGGTAAGAAAGGACTCCAAATTCAGGAAGCGAGGGAGGTGCACAAGTCACCGCTAGAAAAGCACAACATTCATAGAAATTAAAGCTTAAAGATCAAATTATTACTAGAATCACAGGAACAACAGGCTTATAACCAAATTAACCCACACCGCCCTTTATGGAAGCGTAGCTAATAGAACAAATAGTTCAGATTTAAAGTCTCAGTACGTAATTCATGATTTTTGCTCTATTTTTCAGACAATATTATGCAGTATATTGCTTTTTCAGTAAAGTGTTCATGCAGGACAGGTTATAGCAAAAACATGTATAACAATTGCAAAGGCGTGACTGTGCTCTTTTTATGTACAGGGAGAATGAATTTGAGTGGATAAGCATCTTACCTTCAGCTGTAAATAGCATCCCTGATCCTGGCCTTTTGTACAGACCTTTAAACTCTATTTCTCTAAAACTAGAATCCACACATCTAAACAGGCTTCTTCTTGATTTTTCCTAACCATTTTTTGCACAGCACTATAGGAAGCCTCTGAATAAGAGTATATGTAATTCTGAGCAATGTAAAGGAATCTTTCTGTAGTAAGAATAAGGATAGAGTAGTTCTTCAGTATTTAAACACATACGTTGACACTGTGGAAAAGTTCCACTCCACTTTCCATCTGCCATACATTGGCTCGTTCTCGTCCCAACAAGGTTGTAACTGAAAACAAAAAGACCTGGTTATCAGAAAGCTTAATGAGCACGGGGAAGAATCAAGTTGTTCTTTGCAAGGAAGATTACTGTTTCTCATAAACAGACTTAAGAGTCCAGTTCTGAAATCCTTCTCTAGTTCTAGCACTTACTGACCTCAAAGGAAGTTTAGATTCAGATATGAAAAATTGTTAGTATTCGAGTATTGCAAGTATCCAGACAAAAGGCTTGAAACAAGATGTTTTGATGTTTCAACTGTATATTCTATCTTATATATTAATTTCTACAAGTGATTAATACTGTGGATATATATGTAAGTAGTGAGCATTGATCTGTGATTGCTAATGTAAATGTTATGGTTTCTTGGGAGGAGTTCCCAGCTAATTATAGCAATTAGGATCAAACTATTGCAAAGAACTCAGCACTTTAGAACTAAAGTCACTGAGGTGCAGTATTTTATTTTCATGCCAGATAGCCCAATTTAATTTCCATATGCACTCTAAATGCTTCTCTGCCATCCTCTGTACTTACATTATCAGCCCTTACTCTGAGTTTTAAAGAAATGTTAATTGTGTATCTGTCATTGCAACATCACACAGCTGAAAACCAGTACATTGTAATTAGCAAAATGAAATCAAGTCCCATTGATACATTTGGTGTCATAGTTGAATTTATTTATTCCTTGTCTTGCTCCTGTTTTGTAGAAGGAGGAGGTAGCTGAGGCTGTTGATATTCTTCAGTGAACTCTAGGCCAGGTCTTACCTATGACCTTCCCAGGTAAGTACTGTTTATTAATTAATTACCTACATAAAATGAACTGGATGCTGCTATCAAATATTTCCCTGCATTTACCATAATTATTTTTCTTTAAGTGCATCCTCATTTCTAAAACTGGCAAGTAGCCTTGAGTAAAAGTGCATTTATTCTAGGGACCAAATTAGGATTAATCTCATGTTTTCATTTACTGAGCCTGGAAAGGCATAGAAGCAAAATTTTCAGTCTCCAGAGCCTAAAAGCATAACAACTTAGATGGAGATTATCTTCTCTCTGCTGTAGGATTTCATCTCATGATGTAATAAGAGGATTTCAAAAGCAGGGGAAAGCAGTCCAGAATAAATCTTTGTATAAAATCTCTGCTATTTTGATGGTTTCTGTATCTGTAAGACCTTGCTTTGGAGTAGCAAAGCTCCAGGATGTTATAGCCAAGACTGAAGAGAGGAAGATCACCATATATGCGATTTTTTTTTAGTTTCTGAAGTGGAGGTGCAGTTTTCTAAGCTCCCTGGCTTGCAATACTGCAGCAGGTGATACTAGAATGTAATATTGTGGTTTAGGTTATTTGTTTAACAGCATGAGGAAAGGAACGCTTACCCTGGATCACATGAAAAACTTATAGAACTCTGATAGTGGAGATCTATAAATTCAATTTTTCCATGCTGCAAGGGTCCAGGACTGGGACATCTCTTTGCTGTTAAGTAAAGATAAAAGAAGAATAATATTATTTCATGAGGCACGAAGCTAGGATAGTGGAAACGAGTTAATCTTAAAGGGGTCCTGGTGTTTTTCATGTTTCTCCACTCCCACGTACTATATTTCATAAGTTTAACTATTCTACATTTCTATCAAAATATAGTAATTTCAAAGTTTTTGTGATTAAGTAATTTTAAACACTTGATCGTCTGAGGAAAATAACTTCTATGCAATGAAATGGTAAAAATGAACAAAGAGGGATACAATAAATGCAGGTGTTATCGAGCAGTATATGTCCTTAGAGTGTAAGCACCGCTGGGCTGAGCCAGATGAAGGTTCACCTTGTGTCCAGTCTCCCTCACCATCCGGGAGCAGAGGCTTAAGGGAAAGCGTGGGACATGGGCGGGAAGATCCTTCCCCTGTTACTTGCCCCTCTTCTCCCCACACCCAGTTGTCTTCCGACAAGTAAGGAAAGAACAATCGGAAAACAGAAGTATATCAGTTTAAATATATCAGGTTAATCACGTGGACTACAAAATATCCTTTTCAGGTCAGCGCATGCGAAATGGTGTAAAATCTAGGAATAGGATTTGCTTTGTTTTACTTACGTAGGCATAACAGCGTATTGAGAGGCCACTTGCCCGTCGGGAGGCAGGTGTACTTCCTTTGGCCGTTATTGGGGACGAACCCAGGCCTACAGGTATATTCTATTTCCTCACCCACGTCATACACGCTTTTGTTTACGTCAATTGTGGCAAATAGCACTTCTGGTGGCCTGGGACAGACTGGAGGAAAGGAGACACTTTACAAGAAATTGGGCAGAAAGTTGGAGTTGTTTTTATTTCTCAGCTGGAAGCACAGGCTTCCATATTATCATCGACTACAGTATGTTCCTGCACTGAGCTAAACGGTCCTTCTGTAATCTATAAGTATTAGCCAGAAAAAAAATGCGTTCTTCCTCTTCTCCTCGGCAGATCTATCAGTGGCCCCAGTTAGATTTTCTGTCACTTTTTTTTACTAAAATTTACTTTTGCTGCAAAATGGATTTATGAAGGTATTCTGCAAAGTGAGTCAATTATGGTAAATTATCTTGGACAAAAGAGGGTGAGAGGGGCTTAGAAGCAAACTAATGCATTTCACTTTTAATCTAAATTAGTTTGGTGGGGTCAGCCTGAAATGAGATTATTATTTTTTTTTAATTAAATTTATTTTTCTCTGGGTTCCCCAATTTTTCTGTTCAGTGGGGCAAACACTCTGTTACATTAGACAGTTCTGATTCCAAAACAGCTTTAACATGTTGACAGCGTGAACATCTCGTCACCCGGAGAGCGATAACAGGAGGGGAGCAGCGAGGGAGGAGTGGAGGGTGCAGGCCGCGCTCCTGAAAAGGACATGGAGAGGCTCCTGCTGAGATTGTGGGGAGACAACAGAGGAACACAAAGCTCGTGCTGTAGAAATACATAGCAAACAGAGGGAGAGAGTGCATGAAACAGTGCCCAGAGCCCTTGGCGTGGGGGAAAGGAGGAGAAAAGCAAGGCAGGAGCCGTGCCGGACAGCCCCTGCGGCGGAGGGGAAAGCGAGGTGAGCGGAGAGCTGGGCAGAGGGACGGAGCGAGGTTATCTCCTGGCCCACGCAATGCCCCCGGCATGCAGGCAACCTGGTTTGCACAACTTCTGTCAATATTTCTTCTGTTTTCCTCCATTTTATACTTTTGTATACAGCAGTTCACCTCACCGTAGGAAGAGACGGAGTAAGGAATGGAAGGGAAAAAAAGAGGAAATAGCTTTCAGAGAAAACTCCCCTTCGAAACACTTGACCTGAATTGTCTGAAGGCTTTAAAATCCTGTTGCTTTCTCCAGCTTCCCTCTTTCACACTTCAGGGTAGTATTGGCTGTTAGAAAGTGGAAGACACTTACCTTTCGCTGCAAGAGCACAGTGGCTCAGAGCAACTGCGCACGCAAGCAGTGCCAGGGAGTGCATTGCTGCCAGTCCGCCAGCCCGAATGACCCTCGCTCCAGTGTTTCTTCCCTTAAAAACAAAGGCATCCACAAAAGGATGGTTACATATTAACTCTTTGTATTTATTCCCATCCCAGTAAACAGAAGATAAAAGGTTCCTTGTGTTGCATGTAATAACGGATGAAACAACCATCACATGTTGCATTCATACATAATGCAGGGATTCAAATAGCGATCTCTGCTGAAAACATCTCCTCTCCGGTTGTTTCTGCAGAGCATCTCCTGTTGGGACCGATGTTTTTGAAAAAACAATATTATCTTCTCAGCATCTTTAGAGGATGAGGATGTTTGGAATACGATATTGGATCAAATAATAGAACTGTCACTAAGAAGCTTTTGTTTATCACCCAAGCGTGTACACTTCTACGTACCAAAAAGTCCTGTGAGTTATAACAAAATCTTTTTAAGGCAAAATGATTAGTGTTGGAGTGACATTGGTATTGTCATACGCCTCCAGTGATGATACCAACTTCATGCCGGTTTACACTAGATGATGACATGGCCTGAAATTCAGGCTTCGGAGGCCTGTTTGATCAGATCCGTGTCGTCAATAAGCATCTTTCAATTAACAGATAACTAAAAGCAGCAGAGACAGGGCTTACGATGCCAGCGCTGCAGGAAAAGGGAAATAATGATTCTGGTCTGCGCTTATGTGTGACAAGGGGGTCAAACCTAAATCTTTTTTTTTTTGGTGGTATAAAAACTTGTTTTGGTTCTGTGATTTGGGGTCATCAAGTCAAAACTCCACAGATATCAGCTGAGGTTCTGATCACTGCAGTTCTCCTAATTTAGCAGATTTTAACTGCAGGAGCATCTGAAGTGCAACCAAAATAACATTTGTGTAATTATTGTTCCACAGTTTGGTGTTTCTAATCTAAGTATCCTCCTTCCCTGCTGACTCACAGCCTGTGAGGGGGAGTGAGGGACATTTGAAGCTCTAACGAGAAGCTAGGTTATGTCAAACTCTTACTGCTGTGATCTTAAATAGTTTGTTTATTTTTGTTTTATAAAGTTTCTCTGTTTGCATTTAAAACACGAATTTTAGCCACAACATTAAACAATCGGGAACATGCTATTCTTCTCAGAAAGAAAATGCTGTGAATGTCCTGCACAAAGTATTTACCGAATATGCAGTGCCAAAGGGCAAAATACCACTGCTAAATCAACAGAAAAAATTGAATTCATTTTCTGTATTTACATCTGATCATTTTTCCATTTGTCACAGCCTGCTTCTTCCTCTTCTCTTTCTCTACAAAATTTCACAAGTATCTCTTCCCTTCCCAACACACTGCAATGCTGTAATGAACTGTCTTGCTTCTGGTTTAAATCCTCCCTTAGATCTGCCTGCTATTGTGATTAGATTCTTTTCTGTGTTTAAAATAGCACAGGAATAGATGGGCACAATTTTATCCATGTCAACGTTGACCATATGATCACTTCTCACTGTGCTCAGCAGATGGCAGAATGTACTCTACCATATCCCGTACAGATATAAACGTGGTGATGGAAAACTTTTTTATACTACTTTAAGAAGAGGAAAAAACCTGGCTTAAATTATGTGCACATTGATTTTTCCATAGATTTTGTGTGTGATTACTGGTTTTAAAATTGAAAGTAAACCTGAATAATTGCATCTGAAACTGAAAGATGAATGAATATTTAAGTATGCGTTTCACACAACGGCATAATAACTGACAATATTGTGATTCTTTTTGAAAACGTATTTCTCTGCAATAAGAAGCATTAGAATGTACGTTACAAATAAATAACTGTGTCTTTCCCAGTAACTGGAGAAGACGTGATTATTATTGCATGGATTCACCTTGGCAGACCATAAGCAAACCAATCTAGTTCTTTCTGTATTTGGTGATAGTATGCAATTATATATATGATTTTCCATCAAATCTAACCCACTCCTTTAACACATGTGCTATTTATTATTTTAGCTCCTATAAACCCAGTCATGAAGCAGAACTTTCTTTCGTTAGCGACCATATAAATACAGAGCAGACTGATGGTCTCTACCACAAATAGTATTATATTCTAAGGAAAGAAATGGTAGCTGCAAGCGGAGAAAGTAGTGCAAGAACACCCTGAGATGATATCGGCTATGATATGCGGAGTATCAGGATCACAGCAGTCTAATTGTTACCTGCTTTTGGGCTAGCATAACCTAAAAGGAAAATATGCAGGAGGGATGTGAACGAACTGGCTTTGCAGCAGCAGTGTTGCCCAGGTAAAAAAAGAAGGACAGCATAGCAGAGATCAAGAGTGCATGGTTGAAAAAGATAGCAATTAAATGATGGAGACCAGCATCACTGGCTGATCAGAGTGGTTTCAGTAAGGAATAAGAGAGAGGAAGAGGATAAGCCAGCAAAGGCCTTAAAAGTTAAAGTAAAAATGTCATATGGAAAAGAAGAAGGAAAAAAATAGTAGAGGGATGCTAAAAGAAAAATGATGAAAAACGGTCTATGCAGCAGCATTCTTCATTGACACCGGGGGTCAGCTGGAGCTGCCATGACAATAGGAAAAGACATTGTATTAATCGGGACACAAGATAATAAGGTGGACAAAGACTTTCAGACAGAAATTGGTCTCTCCTAGTGATATTATGCAGAAAGTTGGCAAGAACTAGACAGACTGAAGGTCAGTGCGAGTAACAGTTCCCCCAGCTAATGAGCCAGACCTTATGTCCTTCCTCTAGTCTGTCTGCTTCTTTAGCTGATGGTGTAATTTTCCTGATATTGTAGGGTATGTCACACCTCTGATCCTGCCACAGACTCCCTGGCAGTCCGTCCTTCCGAACAATGAGTCTGCATTACCCACCATTCTCAAGATTTTATGACTGTTCTTCAACCAGAAAACGCACGACGCAGCCCGTTCAAAATGCAGATGTTTCTCAGATCAACAGGAATGTGTTGATTAGGGCCTGAGATAGAATATTAACGAGAAGCCTGAATGCAGTCCTCCCTTACGTGCCAGCATCCGCTTGCTGAGGCACTCTCTCTGGCGTGGAAGCTGGCCTTGGGACTGTACTTGGACCAACAATCTCATCCTTTTCCTGCAAGGATAAGATATTCAGATTCCAGCTTCCTTCATGCTGTTCCTTTTGTTTCACATGTCAGTCACTTTCCATGTGTACAGCCGTTCTTCTCTCCGGAGTATGAAGTGGTGATGGTCAGAAGGGTAACGGATGTATCCCTGTTCCTCTGCAGGAGCAGGTGTTGTCATGGGTCCCATCGTGGCCCTTCATGTTGCCAAGATAGTTCTATTAATATTTGTTCAAAGTTCATTTATGTGCTGCACAAACATTTTTATCGCCTCTACTCAACACATCCAATATTGAAGTGAGTGCCCCACTGCACTGAAAAGATAAGACATAACAAGTAAGAAGTTAAACTGAGTCATTTTTAGCCTTAAAGAAAAATAATTACATTCAGTTCTGGACAAGTTGAAACTATTCCTACTTCTTAAATACTAGTTGCATTTCATACTTAATGTAGAACTGTATAGACAATTTAGATGTATACATTCATTATTAGCAAAATATTCAGCCAGCCAGAAGCCAAGATCCATTTGCAGTGAATTATTTTCCAGTGAAAGTTTGCTTCATGTGTTTGGAGATGTTGGAGACAGGCACACAGTAACTGTTACTAAAAAAAAGTGTCTCAGTGACACAAAAAGTAGTCAGTGCCTATATAATTCTTGAAAGGATTATTTTCACTTAGTAGCATATTTTAGGAGTAAACTGCAGTTCTAGTTCCCACTGGTGCTCCACAATTGTTTTTCTGAAGTTAGCGAAATAATTATAATTTTAGTCCTAGACCTTAAATCGCTTTAAGCACCCACCAGTTTACTGGAAGCGTAGCATTAAAATGCCCAATCCTGTATTAATCTGAGATATCAGAGGGGTGGCACTAACAACTTTTCCAGGTGGTAGCAGGCATCTATTCTCTCTCAGAGGCATGACGGTGTTCTAGTTTTCACGTACATCAAATTCACAGTGTACAAAACGAGAGCTTTAAAGCGACTTCCTCCTCTTCGCCTTCTCATTTCCTGCACAGAAAATCCGGAGAATCTCTCTCACAGTTCTACTGTGACCCAAATATTGTGAAACAGTCTGTTCCTCTGATAAATTCATCAAAACTCTGTCTAAAAAATCCTGTGTTAAATTGCTTCATCGGGAATGTTAAATTATGAAGCCTTGGGGGCAAGTTATTCTCTATGAGAGTTTGAATCGCAGTGAACAGATTTGCAAGGGACAATTTTTGAGATGTTGACATAAAAGCACGGTATGGAGCCACAGACCTTCCCGCCCTTTTTTGCCTTGTCCCACCTTTTTGCCTTTTCCCTCGGTGCAGGTGTAGAGCTACACAATTGCACTCAAGGAAGGAGCCAGCCATCGTAAGAGAGGTCAGAAAAGACAGGGTGCTCTCCAAGCTCAAGCCAAACTGTTTCTCTTCTCCCATCAAGCTGGAAACAAAGTTTTCAAGATTCCCTTCATCATTATCGTTCTGCTTTCTATTAAGCCAGATATCACAGATTTCCATGAAAGCAGCATCTGACCTTGGTTTTTATATATATATATAGCCTCAGGTTGTCATCTTGTTTACAAGGCAGAGAGAGTTCAGACCTGGTCAGGATCTGATGCAAGCCCTCTAAGGAAAGCGCGCTGCTGCAGGAATGTACTTTACACTTTCAGTACATCAAAAATGTCATTAGCATTTTACCACTTTGTGATACCACAGCGGAGCAATCCGTGCTCGTTTTCATCCCAGGATGACTCCATCCCTCCCGATAAAGGATTTCTCTGGGTAAACAAGAACGCTTTTAAATTGCCTGTGCCTCCCCTGGCACATTGCCATCATACTATCAGAAAGCCCAACTGCCACCAGATTTATTTACTGCCATTCTTAGGTTTTCCCAAGTGACGGATAAGAGGATCAATAATCGAGAAGCCGT